CCCAGATTCAAGACAAAGAACTGCATACGGGACACAGTTGGGGGCACCATATAGTTTGTGGAGGAATTTCGAGTGAAAAGATCTGATGGCGCTGTTATTGGGGGTTAACCAGATAATAAGCCCAATAAGTGCTTGCCACACATCCATGCATGCTTATCCACAGGTTTTATTTATGATATTTCGTGTTGCTGTTGGAAGTCTTTTCTAACTTACAGCATCTCTTAGGTGAATGTATTATGAAGTTTTAATCAAAATATTTATTCAGAGGGGGTTGCCTTTGCCTTCCTTGAGGATCTGACTTGTCCAAATTTGGTTTCCATGGCCAAGCAGAAATTCAAACCCTGAGCTCTTAGTGTCCTGGTCCAACAATCAAACTGCTACAACATTCTGGGGTTCATCTGGATCTCTCAATGTTTTTATTTTGAATGCAGCTGGGATAGGATTTCAAATCTGAGGGGAACACAGTTCCTGTGAGTGAATGTTTACTCCTATGTATAGGGAATGACTTTCCCACTTCATTTTCGGCTTACTTCAGTTTCTGCAAATTGAGTTCAAAATACAAACATAGTTTTCACCAAATTAACTCGTCACGAGGAGTGGAAGCTTGGGAGTGATCTTGGATTCATCATTGAGCCTGAAACTCCAGGTTTCCAGGGAGCTTTTGCACAACTAAAACTTGTGTGCCAGTTGCGCCCGCAGCTTGGGAAGTCAGATTTGGCCATGGTGGTCCACGCTCTGGTTACGTCCTGTATAGATTACTGTGACGTGTTCTATGTGGGGTTGCCTTTGAAGACTGTTCAGAAGCTCCAATTAGTCCAACAGGTGGCAGTGAGGTTGCTCACTGGAGCGGTGTACAGTGAGTATATAACCCCTCTGTTATATACCCCTCCTTGCTTTCGGCCATCAGAGTGGTGTCATCTGCATATCTGAGGTTGTTAATGTTTCTTCCAGCAATTTTCACCCCAGCCTTGCATTTGTCAAGCCCCGCACATCGCATGATGTGTTCTGCATACAAGTTAAAAAGGTTGGACTAATTGGAGCTTCTGAACAGCCTTGCCGTACGCCTTTCCCAATATTGAACCAGTCTGTTGTTCTGTGGTCAGTTCTTACTGTTGCTACTAGATGTTACTCACCTACCTGCAAATCCCAGCATCCCTAACTAACATAGCAATGCTGAGCAGATTTGGGAATTGTTGCTTCATCATATTTGCAGTACTGCATGATTTGCATCCTGGCTGAGACATGGTTGAAATCGATCCTGATCCATTAAACTCTCTAGGAAACCTACCTTCTTCCTTGCACAAACTAGTTGTGTTTACACCTTCAAACTGACCTACCTTATAGAGTGGTTGTGAGGGTAAATGCAGAAAAAAATATTGAGGTAGCCTGCTTCCAGGAAAGATAAGATATAATTATAGCTAAAATAAGTATTAATGCTTCATACATGTAGAAAAATAAAAAGAGCAGACAATGGATTGCCTGCACCAAGTACAGATATAACAGTGTTTGAGGATAGGTTTCCTGTCTTCCAAATCTAACGCTGCAGCTTTGAGGCAGCGCTGAACCCTGGAAACATCTAATTTTAGAAATGAAATGTGGGAGGTAGCAAATGCTCATCAGGTGCCAGAGGGAGCGGCAAGCTAGGAGAAATTGCCAACAGCTGTATGATATTTCTCAGCTTTGGTGTCAGGTATGACATTTGACTTGACACACCTGGCACCCAGATCCTCATATAAGCGCCAAGTCTCCAAACTGCCAGGGTATAATCCTGGAGATGGGGAAGATTACTGCACAACCTGACATCAGCCTTATTACCTGTATCCCCTAGAATTACCCCATTCAGCGTGAATTTTAGGCTGAACGAAGGCATTCTTCCTTAGCGTAGCCTGTCCCATAAGGTTGAGCAGAGCATAATGAGAAGTACATATATGAGGGTTGAATGAAAAGTAATGCCTCCACCTTCGTTACTTGGGTTTGGATGGGAATATTTTAATAAATCAAACACAGAAATAATCCTTAGAATGTGCTCTTTAACTACCATTATTCACTTTTCCACATAATCACCAGACAACTGGATGCATTTATGCCAATGATGAACAAGTTTCTGAAGCCGTCACGGAAAAAGTCGACACTCTGTTTCCGCAACCAACATCTCACAGTTCTCTCAACGTACCCATCGTGCACAGATCTTCCGATAGCCAAGCAAAGCAATAATGTGACCCAAACATTCTTGTGAAATGCCAATTATGTTTGAAATTTCTCTCTGAGTGATACGATGATCGTTCTGAATCAATCTGTCAACCTTTTCCTTGTGAAACTCGGTGGTTGCTGTCACAGGATATCCAACTCTTTATTTGTCACACAAATCAGATGTTCCCATCTCAACATCTTTAAACTTACTCACCCAACGACACACAGTACTCACATCAACACAATCACTATAAACAGCTTGCATTCTTTGATGAATCTCCTTTGGGGTGACACCTTCTGCTGTCAAGAATTCAGTGACTGCACGTTGCTTAAGTCGCATTGACCAACCGTCTGTGCAGGATTCCATAGTTTAACAATACAACCGTTCAATGCTAAGGCTTCCCGCCAAAATGGAACTGTAGAGGAGAGTCTACTGAACAAGCTAGTAGCTGCTGCATACCAGTACTGCCATCTGTTGAGGAGTTACGAAGGTGGAGGCATTACTTTTCATTAAACCCTTGAATGTTGCCCACTCAGTAAAATTGCTTTGATGTTAACAAAGAGTCATAAATATATTCAGTTGTTTGTTTTGTTTTGTTTTTGGATATACATTTTCAGAGTCACATCTTCAATTCATTAGATATATGAAGCATTACTTAAATAGGCTTGTGGGATGCAGGCTACAAAATCCCGTTCTAAATAGCACTTACTGGGATTTAAAATTCCACAAGATCCCTTATTGTTGTTGTTTTCCTCTGGCAAAGACTAATGCAGTTGTTCTACCCTCCCTGAAATTGTATGCTATTCTGTAATATAAAAGGAAATGTAAAAATTCTGAAGGTGGAGCTCCCTTCATTTCTGTTCCATCAACACTTCTGTGACTGGCATTATTTTTACCCTAATTGTGGGTACATTTACACTGTAAAATGAATGCAGTTTGACAACACTTTTAACTGCTATGGCTCAATGCTATAGAATTATGTTGGGCAAAGCAAGAGCACTTTTTGGCAGGGATGGCTAAAGATCTTGTAAACTACAACTGCCATGATTTCAGATAGGACTTTTCCCCAATCCCAGGTGCCTGAAGGGAGAAGTTGCTGCATTCAGAGCCTAACTCTATGCTATGGAAGATCTGAACTCCCAACCCAGCACTTTAACATCTGTATTCTTTAATCTAGGGTCATATATTACAAAACACTTTTTGTTAATAGATGGTAAATTGCAGCCTAGTGTAGTTAAGGGGCAAATCTTTACTTCTTTCTGTCTCTGTCACTTTTTAAACTTGGATATAGGCTTGTCATTTCCTTGTTGTATTTATTGGTCTTTAAGGTAAAGGAAAAAAAGGGAAGTGAATATCTTCAAACTGATAAACTTTTTTCCCCTTTATATTTTAGGAACAAATTCAGAACCGTTTGGATTTCCTGAAAAAAGAGAGACAAGAGCTCTTGGAATTCAAAATGCAGGATGACCAAAAAAGCCAGGATCTCTTGGTGAGTGCTTACGGTTACTCAGAAAAAAGCAGCAAATCAGGGTAGCTTTGAATGAGATGTAGATATATGGTTTTGGAATTTTTTAAGGGGATCAAGTTACACTGTCAATTGGCAGTTGGAAAAATTGCCTGCCTATCAATAGCTGGGATTTTTCTGAGAATTGTAGTACAAAAATAACTTTTCCAATGTGCTGATTTGACTTATCAACTAAATTCACAATCATGCAGGGCCAATTGGTGTAATAGTAATAGAACCTATGTCAGATTTTTTTTTAAATGCTGTTTCTTATTTTATGATGCCATGTATTGTCTGTACTCAGCTATTTTCACTCTTAACATACAATCTTTTTTAAAAAAACATTTTAAAATTGTTATTTCAGTTTTGAGATTATATTCCTTCTAATATTTTGTCACAGTTGTTTGCACTTCTGGTTCAACCCATGCCCTAAATTTAATGCATGATGAACATTTTGCTCTTCAGGAATATCTAGGTCAGTGTTTCTCAACCTTCCTAATTTCAGGACCCCTTAGTATAGTTCCTTGTGTTTTGGTGACCCCGCCCCCCAACCATAACATTATTTTCGTTGCTACTTCATAACTGTAATTTTGCTACTGTTATGAATCTTCATGTAAATATCTGATAGGCAGGATATATTTTGATTCACTGGACCAAACTTGGCACAGATACCCAATACGCCTGAATTTTAATACTGGTGGGGTTGGGGGGATTTATTTTGTCATTTGGGATTGGAGTTGCTGGGATTTATAGTTCACCTACAATCAAAGAGCATTCTGAACTCCACCAGCAATGAAATTGAACCAAACTTGGCACATAGAACTTCCATTACCAACAGAAAATACTGGAAGGGTTTAGTGGGCATTGACCTTGAGTTTTGGAGTTATAGTTCACCTGCATCCAGAGAGCAATGTGGACTCTGGACCAAACTTGGCACAGATACCCCATATGCCCAAACGTCAACACTGGTGGAATTTGGGGAAAATAGACCTTGACATTTGGGAGTTGTAGTTGCTGGGATTTATAGTTCACCTACAGTCAAAGAGCATTCTGAACCCCACTAATGAAAGAATTGGGCCGAACCTCCCACACAGAACTTCCATGTCCAACAAAAAATGCTGTGTTTTCTAATGGTCTTTGGTGACCCCTCTGACACCCCCTCATGACCCACCCGGGGGTCCTAACCCTCAGGTTGAGAAATACTGATCTAGGTTCTCCGGTGTGACTATGTGGTCAATTTCTTTCAGTCATGTTGAACAACCTAGAGATTTCTAGAGGTATCACCTCTTTAGAAATCTTTAGTTCCTCCAATGTGATTATATGACTAGCTTCCAGTGGATATTGACCATAGAGTCAAGCAATGAAAGGATAAAGGTAATTGGAAGACTTCTGTGACAACAACATATAAATCGTGGAACCATTTCAAAATGAGCAGAAGGACCCAAGTCAGTGAATGGAAACAATTGCCTTTTGCCATAACACAGAACTCCAACATACCTGGGCAGAACAAGGATGCATTTCACTCCCCCACCCCTTGTCTTCGAGCATCTTCCTTTTATTTAGGGAATTTAGGTGTCAAATACAGAATGTAAAAGGTTTCTACATGGAATGAGATGAAGGATTGGTTCTGATCCCAGCACTCTGTCCTTGACAATGGTCAATCAAATTCTTTTGAAGATGCTCATAAGACTCATTAGTAGAAGCTAGGACTAAGCGAATGTGAATGCTCATAAGATAACCCACTCATTACTAAAAGGTAGGGCTATCACCCAGTTGAAGAAATTGTAGCTGATCAGTCTTTCCTGACAGTAAGAGCCACTCAACAGTGGAATAGGATGCCTCGAAATGCTATGGAGTCTCCTTCTGTTTTTTTTTAAAAAAAAACAAAGGATGAATGGCTATCTGTCAACAGTGCTTTGATTGTGTATTCCAGTGTGGCAGAGTGTTTCACTGGATGGCCCTTGCGGTCTCTTCTGACTTCCTGAGACTATGATTCTACCCCATCCTGTGTTGGAAAATTTGAGGGATGATGTGGAACTACAACCATAATCTGCTATATTTTAAAATAGTTACAGCTAGTACCAGAGACTTCCAAGAAAAAGACCAGGACATGAAGAACATCATATAGATATTTGCTTTCTATGCATCACCAATGAAGGCAGAAAGTCCATCCTACAAAACTATATCCCAGCCTGATGCTAATGAACAGAAATAAACCGGTTTAGCGTCTGTTTGGTGATTCTTCATGCGTTGGTAATTTCTCATGCTGATCATCATTTCTTTTGTTTTTAAAGAAAACCATAGAAGTTGAGAGACAGAAGGTCCTCTCTGAATTTGAAAGCCTGCGCCAGTTTCTGCAAGAGCAAGAACAGCTCCTTCTGGGTCAACTGGACAAGATGGAGAAGGGCATCACCAAGAGGCAGAACGAGAACATCACAGAATTTTCCAAGGAGATTTCACTCCTCAACAAGCTGATTGCTGACCTGGAGGAGAAAATCCAAGAGCCTGTGCTTGATTTCCTTAAGGTAAGACCTAAAATCTCACAACCTCTGAGGATGCTTGCCATAGATGCAGGCAAAACTTCAGGAGAGAATGCTTCTAGAACATGGCCATATAGCCCCAAAACCCCACAACAACCCAAGATGTGTATTGTTTTCCTATAAAATGCATTTTTCCAAGCCTTGTAGTGAACTGATTTGATACATTTTGATAGTTTTGATACATACATACCATTCTATTCTAAGCCAACAATGTACTGTCACATATAACCTATTTCTCAATTTTGGGGATTTGGTACCTTTTGAAAAAAACTGCTCATTTAGGAAGAGAATTAGGCAAGGCTACATTTTACTATCCTCTTTGTTTAACTTGTACGCTGAACATATACATTAAAGCATGATTAAACTCAGAGGAAAGAGGTGTAAAACTGGAAGAAGGAACACCATTAATTTAAGATGCACAGGTGGGTGATTTGGAGGTCTCTCATTCATAGGGGCACCATAAATTGAGGTCAACTTGATGGCAGTTAACCATAACAAAGAAACCATTATCTTGTGAAACTGGAAAGATTTCTGAGGCCTCATTTATACTGCCACATAATCCAGTTTCCAAATTCAGATTATCTGATTTGAACTGGATTATATGCAAACTCATGCAATCCAGTTAAAAACAGATAATCTGGATTCAGAGAGTGAATTTTGTAGCAGTGTAGATCCAGACCGAGACACTTCACTTTGAAACTGTAGGGAGAACATCATAGGCTGGTCCTTTAGACCTGGGTTGGAGGAACATGCAGCCCTCCAGAAATGTTGGCCTACAATGCCAACGTCTAATACGCATGAATGATGGGAGTTATAAAAGGTAAAGGTTTCCCCTTGACATTAAGTCTGGTCGAGTCCAACTTGGGGGTGGTACTCATCTCCATTTCTAAGCCAAAGAGCCGCCGTTGTCCGTAGAAGCCTCCAAGGTCATGTGGCCAGCATGACTGCATGGAGCGCCATTACCTTCCCACTGAGGCGATACCTATCTACTCACATTTGCATGTTTTCAAACTGTTAGGTTGGCAGAAACTGGGGCTAATAACGGGATGTCACCCCATCCCGCGGATGGGAGTTATAGAACAATAATATTCATGGAGCTATACATTACTTATCCTCTGATCCAGACAAAAGCATCTCCTACTGGTAGACAATCCCATTAACCCTTTTTTGTTCTGTTGTTGTAGTAGTTGTTGTTAATAATAATAATATACCATTTTTCTCTTAAAGAGACTCAAAGCAGTGAACAATAATACAAACAATACAGTATATGATTTAGGACCCAAAGACTATAAACATTATTTAAATGCAGTACTATTTGAAAATGAATTAAAATGATTAAAACTAATTTAAAATATTGACAACACCACACAACACCCTCTGACTCCTTCTTTAAAAGCCTGCCTGAATAAAAAAAAGTGTTTATTGAAATGTTCCAGTTTCTCTCTCCACTTATCTCCCTTTGTCCTTGGTCTATTCAAGTTGTGCAAACTGTGTCCGTAGTGCATATTCCACAGGGGGCTGAATTTCCCCTTTCCAGGAGGCTCAGGCAAAAGCAAACTGTTGCAGCCTCTCTTAGCCTATGTGTTCTTTCTCTACGCGTCATTTTGTCCTCTTGACCATGTTCTAAAGTTGATTGGCCATACATATCCCTGCTTTCACCTGTGAAGTGCTGGAGAGTATGGCACCTAATGCATCAAGAAAGAGGGAAAAGGCTAGGGGAATGATCACTGTGGTAAATATATTACAATATGGTTTTTCTTCTGTTTTTCTTCCAGGATGTAACAAGTGTCATCATGAGGTATGACTGCATTTTCATGTTCCGTTGCTCTTTTTTATGAATCACCCAAAAGGTCATTGGCACCCATTCAGATAAATGCCATCCCAGACTCTTGCTAAGCCACCTCACTCTTGAGTCAGCACACATCTCAGGCTCCTTATAGCTTCTTGGTTGGGAATATGATCCCTCTCCTTTCAGACCGTCTCTGATTTCCTTCACCTACAATGGCAGTGAGACGGGCAGGTGCTGGACAGAAATAGGGACTGCGGTGGGTCAGGGAGAGTCACAGAGCTGTGCTTTGTTTATTTATGTGGCGTAAATCCATTTCAGTGCAAGGTCTTCACTTGAGCCATTGGGATAATATTCGATCCCTTCTTCCTCAGAGAAGTCTGAATCACATCACTACCTCTAATGAAGGAATCCGCTTGTGGGTGTTTTTCATATTGGAGGCCTTAAAAGTGGGTCTTATGAAGCTTAGAAAAGTTGCCATTGTGGACTACAGGATACAGATCACCGGTTGAGTATCCTTTATCTAAAATCCTTAGGACCGGAAGTATTTTCAATTTTAGTCTATCTGTATTTACATATGTATGTGTAATGAAATTCCATGGAGATAGGTTGCAATTTTCAACACAACGGTCATTCATTTTTCATATATATCTTATACACATAGCCTGAAGGTAATTTAATATATAATATTTTAAATATTTGTTTTTGCATGGAACAAAATGAACCATCCGTCGGGATGCAAAGGTGTCACTGTTTTAGCCACCTGTGTGGACAATTTTGGGTTTTGGAGTATTTTGGCATTGCAGATAAGAGATGCACAACCTTTACATGAAAATTATCTTCCAAAAAAGTAAAGTTTAGCAGTTTTGGGTACTTGTATTCGTCTACTCCAGGTATGGGAAGGCTATGACTGTCCTTTTGGAAAGGCATGACCTTGTTAGAAATTATAACCTTTTAGAAAACCACTGGTCACATAACCTTTTGGAAAATTGCATTTATTTCCATTTTGGAAAACCTGGAATCTCCTGAGAAGAGTTAAAAACTTACTTGAGTCAACCTACACCTTAGTGGTAAATATCCAGTAGTATTCATGCACGGCAATTAGGTTTCTTGGCTATTAAATTGATATATCTAGATATCCCTTTGAACTGTTAGGGACAAAGATATACCAATGCACAAAAACATATATAGCAGAGTTTCAGAAGTGTTTCTTTCAGTTGCCCAAAAAACATCGACCCTCCCTTAAAACTTCTTGGTTTAAATCATGCTCTCAAGAGACCAAAAATAAGTACCGGTATAATTGTTTAAAAGTAACATAGTTGGTTTACTCACAAACTTCATGTATTAAGTATACGGGTACATTGCATATCAATCCAGTTACAGATAGGATTCGATGTAGTTTCTCTGTGCAAGTAACACAGGGCATCTTTCTTATAATCAACAGTCTAAAGTCTAAAGCATCTCTCCAGTCTGAGAGTCTAATAGAGTCTGTTCTCTTAAGCAGTGGTTCCCAACCTTTTTCTGACCAGGGACTAAATGACCAGGGCCCACTTCACCAGATCCCACTTTGACCAGGGTCCACTCTCCAACATTAGTACCAAAAGGGTTACGAATCGGTTCTTGTCAACTTTAGATTTGGTTTGGTTATTTGGGGTGCTGATTTAGAAAATTGCATTGGATAGACCACATCAGCTCTAGTTTCTGATACAGAACATATGCCATCCAGTAGTTACCATCTGCTCGCCCACAGGAAACCATATTTAATAGTCTAGAGCCGATGTGGTAGTACTAATCTTTAGTGGATAGTCAGCCTCTCCCCTCCCAACATCCCCGTTGCCTCAGCACTATAAGAGGGTTTTGTGATACCAGTCGTTCTCATTACCATGTGGTTTCAAGGCAATGGTGTAGTAACAGTGAGGTCACGGACCATCTTTTCATTCTTGTGGACCACTGGTTGTCCACAGACCACAGGTTGGGAACCACTGCTCTAAAGCATTCTATTTCCACAGACTTCTAAACTATTGTACTGCTTCTGATGCAAAACACACACTCTTCTAAAATGGAGTCTAAGCTGAACATCCCCAGATCTCATCACATGGGTCTGCAGCCCCACCCACAACAAAGAGTTTAAGGAAAACTGCATACCAATACACACATATACAATACAGTAAGAAATCTCAATTATATAAAAACAAATAACTAGTATAGGAGGCTTGTAGAAGGTTGCTATTTCTAACGCATCCAGATGTTGTTGAGCTGCAACTCCCATCACTCCTTCCCAGTATAGTCAAAGGTGACCCAACTTGGGAATTATGACCCAACAGTATCTGATGTCTTTCTGCTGGTGCAGACTATCATCAGCTAGACCAGTGATTGTTCTCTTTTCTTTTAAAACTTCTAGAAGTGATGATCTTAAATGTCAGAAGCCCATCCTTGTCTCTGCTGACATGAAAGGTCATGTCTGCAATTTCTCGCTGAAGACTGTGGTCCTCAAGGGAGTGCTAAAGAAATTCAAAGGTAAGAGAAAAAACCCCATGTAGTTTTAACTTTAGCATCTAATGAAGTGAAATTGCCTTGTGGTTTGGGAGAGCAAATATTGGCAGGAAACGATAAGATGTATAATACAACTTAACAACAGGTGCCTCTTTTGATTCCCCTCTTCATTCCCACATAAAGAAACAAACACTTACAATGGGGCTTTTAGTGGCCTGCAGAAACCTCCAAATCTCAAATAATTGCTCACTTTACAACAGGATACATTGCATGGGTAGTTAATACAAAGATAAGATCTTGCCACAAAGCCAGATGTAGACTCTCTCCCTGTATCAACTCTGGGGACAATATTACATGAGCCAATACTATCACCTACAAAATCAGAGGTACGATTACTTAGTCCTCCTCCAATATGGTACATGCCATCCTGTGCCAGCAATGCCCCTCTCCACTCCACATTGGATAAACAGTGAAGTCTCTACACAAGAGAACAGATGGACGCAGACTTGATATTAGCAATGGCAATACCCCAAAACCAGTTCCAGGAATGGAAAATGGTCCTTCAAATACTCTGGAGAATCAATATTTTGGAATTCAGCGGGGGATACTGAACTTGGAGTAGATGGCTTGGACAAAACCATTTTGAAGTACTCTGTAGCCCTGAGATTCATTTATAGGCTTTCTTTTCTTTCAGATCATCTGCGGGATGAACTGGGGAAAGGCGAAAAAGGTAAAGGCTAGAAGTTGAACAGACAAAACAGCCATTATTGACATCTCTTCACTTACACAGATTTTTAGTACATATACAATTTTCAGAAAACAGGAAAGAAGCAGTCCTGTTATTTCTGGACATGGACTGGAGGGTTAATGGGCGACATATTATCAGTTCAAAGCACTTTGCAAGTCAATGCAGAATGTTGAATATACAACCCCATCACATTGAGATGGGAAAGCAGAGGTGAACTTCTTTTCAGCTTAGGGAATTGCCCTTCTAGATCATCAGTCGTCAAGTTTCGAGTTGTGTCTCCTCATCACACATGCTTCCCTCTTTGTTCACCTTTGTTGCCCTTGATCAGCTTTATCACATGTGGAAACCTAAGAGCTGGCAATACATTCATCTTACAATCATCACACGGAGAATCCTTTTCTCCGCCCTCTCTGTATTACTTTTTTTAAAATCTAGGAAAACTTCAATATCTGAAATCCAAAAAACCTCTTGCCCTGCCCAAAGCCCCTTACTTTAAAAGAGACTGACACCACTTGAAAGCCTCTTCTTTCCATGAGACAAAAATTGACCTGTCCAAGCCCCGCATGATAAAGGAGACCGAAGGGGTGGGTAATTAAATGGTATAGTAAAACTTTGACGGATCCCATCTCACCTGCGTTTCAACTGGAACCAAGGGAGTAATTCATGGTAGGAGGTAGGAGCTCTGAACACAATTGCTGGCCCACGTTCAGAGTTTCCACCTTTCAGGATATTTCTGCCACTTTTCAATCACAGATGGCTATGCATGACGTCCGGAAGTAGTTTAACATCATATGATGAGCTCCATGCCTCTCCATGCTTGAAAAGAGGCTGAAGTGTCCTACAACAGGGAAATTTTTCAATGTGATGAGGTCCCTGAACATGATTGCCAGAGTTCCCTCCTTTTAGGACACTTCTGCTTCTTTTCAACCACAGAGGGCTATACATGACGTCCAGAAGTAGATTAACGTCATGTGATGATCTCCGTGCCTCTCCATGCTTAAAAAGAGGCTGAAGTGTCCTACAACAGGGAAATTTCTCAGTGTGTTGAGGTTCTTAGAGTAGGGTAATCGAACTTTGGCTTGCAAAGTGTAATACTACAACATTATTTTAAAGGAATAACTCAGTACAAGGAATACGGGGAGGAAAGAAAAAGATTCAACAAGATGTAAAATGGGAAAAATGGAGAAATTACTCTTTCAGTACAGCTCCAAGAATTCCCCTAGCCATCACAACCAGGGGGATTCTGGGAATTATACTTATCACAAATACATTTTGAAAAGTCCTGAATGATATTCTTCCCAACACCACACACTTCCTTTCCCTATCATTGCTATCATTCTGATTGTTGGCTGAGCACTTTTCTCCTGCCTCCTAGAGGATCTGATCCTGGATCCAGAGACAGCCAATCACCTCCTCGTCCTCTCTGCAGACCTAAAGGCCGTGAAGATGGGCTGCCGAAAGCAAGAGCTACCTGACAACCCGAAGCGCTTTGACACCAACTCTCGCGTTCTGGCCACCGAGGGATTCAAGTCAGGGAGGCATTATTGGGAGGTGGAGGTGGGCTCTGCGGATGGGTGGGCCTTTGGAGTAGCCAAGGAATCTGTCCGAAGGAAAGGACTGACCCAGTTTTGTCCTGAGGAGGGCATCTGGGCCTTACAGCAAAATGGGGGGCGATACTGGGCAGTCACTACCCCTCAGCGTACCCCCATTTTCCTTCCCGAGAAAATCACCAAAATCAGAATCTACTTAGACTATGAAGGAGAAGAGGTGTCCTTTTACAAAGCTGACAACATGCAGCATCTTTTCACTTTTAATGTTGCCTTCACAGAAAGGATATTTCCTCTCTTCTCAGTTTGCTCCACTATGACTTACATTAAACTTTGCTCCTGAAATGAATAGGACACGTAGTTGGAGAGATATTGAGCTGTCGTGTGTACTCACAATGTGGCAGAATGGAGCTTGCCATACATGTTAAGGCCTTAATCGTGGTGATCACTATGGTCTAGCCCCATGAGCATGAGACATAATGTGCCTGGCAAAATGATGCTTCTCTTCATCTCAAGGTCTTATTGGTGGTGACATGATGTGCCTGGCAGTGTGGAAACAATGCTTGAAAAACCTACATGCAGCAGTTTTTATGCTGGTTGTGTTTGTGTGCCTGATGCTGACATAGGGCTTGGAAAATTTGCTCTTTTTTTGGCTAGCATGTCTGGAAGAGTCTGGGAATGGCCATGCTGACTGGGGATTCTGGGAGCTCTAGTCCAAAAAGGAAAATTCCCAAGCTTTGTGCTTGCCAGTATGTCCTGAAAGCTAAAAGATGTGCAAGTCAATGACTTGAGTGATATACCTAGCTTGCTGTATTTGCACAGAGACTAATCTAAATAGACCTTAATTTCTGACATGCTATTTCCAATCCCACCTTGTTATGATTGGTGCTCAAGAAGATTACGTTTTTTCCCTTCCTGAATAAAGGTAAGAAGGAACTTGTTGAAAGATGACCCTTACCTGTTCTCTTTAACCACCATAAAAATGTGTAGTAGGAGTTGTAATTGAGGACATCAGGTTGCCAATCCCTGCTCTAACATAGTGGGCAGTGCTCATTTTTGTTTGAACAATTTTAGAAACATGCCCCATCCTCTGTGCTCTGTGAGCAGCTCATGTTCTGAAGTTCTAATTCTGGAGTGGGACTTGAAAATTCAAGGTGAGCAGATCAGGGCTATAGTTCAAAGACTTAATTTGGTTTGGACTAACCATTGTTTTTTGCTGGCTGAACTTTCACAGGTCTTAATTTGCTCGACACATATGAAGCATACTGCGTATCTTCTATTTCAGTGTTTGGGGTGTCAAAATACATCTATAGATGTGCTGTTATAAAGAAAACACCTGGACTCAAGTGATCCGTGGATGGAGTTCTTTCATACCCATGGCTCCTTCTCATCCTGGAGTGAAGTGATAAGTGCGGTGCCACAGGGGTCTGCCCTGGGCACAGTGCAATCCAACATCTTTATCAATGACTTGGAGGATGGAATAGAAGGCATGTTTATCAAATTTGAAAATGACACCAAATTGGGAGGGATCACGGTAATATTCCAGAGGACAGGATCAGAATCCAAAATCACCTTAAAATTTGATCTGGAAGACCATTGTGGTCTCTTCCAATTCAAACTACAAGAGAGGAGATTCCATCTGAACATGAGGAAGAACTTCCTGACTGTGAGAGCTGTTCAGCAGTGGAACTCTCTGCCCCAGAGTGTGGTGGAGGCTCCTTCTTTGGAAGCTTTTAAACAAAGGCTGGATGACCATCTGTCAGGGGTGATTTGAATGCAATATTCCTGCTTCTTGGCAGGGGGTTGGACTGGATGGCCCATGAGGTCTCTTCCAACTCTTTGATTCTATGATTCTAATGATATGATACACAAAAAGGAAACAAAGAAATAGCCAAATGAAATCACAACAAAAATACATTTTTATTTCCTGTTTAGAAAGCATTTTATTGACTTTCAACAGGAATGCCAAGTGTGAGACTTCTCACTTCTGGTTTAAACTGTGATCATTTTTCATAAAGCAGAGAGTTCACAGCATTTTCCAGTAATTTTTCAACAAGACCTTTGCAAAACATTGAAACATTGTGGAGTATGTAGGCATTATTTGTATTTTGTATGTATCTTCCACCTTTTTGTGCCGAATGATTGAATTCAGTGATACATAACTGTTTGCATGGTGAATCTTTGAAAGCTGATCATTTTTGAGAGCGCATTTACAAGAAATACACCCTGACTTGTTATGTCTTCATAATATTGCAAGCTCTGTTTTCTGTTTCAGCTTGGCCCTTTGCTGACAAGGTCTGATGAGACTTTGTCATGGAATGGATCTACAAATCAGATCTATAACTGCAGAACTATCAAACTTTGGTTTTGGATTTCAGTCCCCAAAAGTCCCCAGTTTGGCTGTTTATGAAGGATTCGGGGATATGAAGTCTAAAACGCCTGGAGGATAAAAGATGGCGTGTCACTGTATTAGAGTTTAGGATGAAGTTGGAGCTGGTTTACATAATTCTGCTAAACACAGGCCCCGTCCACATTGCTGAATAAAAGCCCACATTATCTATTTTGAACTGGGATATATGGCAGTGTGAATTCAGGTAACCTGGGGCCCTTCCACACAGCCCTATATCCCGAATATCAAGGCAGAAAACCCCACATTATCCGAGTATGGAGTCAGATAACCCAGTTCAAAGCAGGTAATGTGGGATTTTCTACCTTGATATTCTGGGATATAGGGCTGTGTGGAAGGGCCCCCAGTTCAAAGCAGATGTTGTTGGATTTTCTGCCTTGATATTCTGCTTATATGGCTGTATGGAAGGGCCCACAAAGTTTGGCTGGCATGGTTACTACATGAATAGGAGACCGCAAGTCGGAAGGATATTGCACTGCTCATCCAGTACTGTTTTCATTGTATTTGCTTCTATGTACCCACAATAAACCTAATTCAAGATGTATATTTGTAAATAAATCAGTGATTACCAATACACTGAAATTTGCTAGTGTTCTTTCCCTGATCTGATTATAAAAACTGATCTGAATGTGGAAAAAACACCTGGACTAACAAAATGGGAGAAGTAGTTTTTTAATGAATATCTCATGGAGTCTCAACCAAGTCAACATAGTTTGAGGCAGCCACAAAATGAAGTTTCTGGAGTATATCAACTACTTTCAAAGTAAGGACAGCACAATTAAACAGGAAATAACACTTTCAGAACAGAAACAGATTTTTTTTCCAAATTTTGTTACATAGTGTCCAACTGTTCATTTCTGCGCAAAATATTAGAGTGGAGTGTCTGGATGGAATAGATAATTTACACACATTTCAGTCTGGGTTCTGGCCTGGTTATGGAACAGAGACAACTTCGGTTGCCTTGATGGATGACCTACACAAGGAACCCATAGGGGACACATGTTCTACTGGGTTTCTCAACAGTTTCTGATACTCATGCATCAATCAATCAATAAACAAATATTATGAACAGTGGTTTGGGCTACCTCACTGACATCCCAGTTGTGAGACACTGTTTTACAGTGTCTTTGTTCCTTACTTGAGAGGTGAACCTAGATGTTAGGGCTCAGAGTGTTTGATTCGTTTGGTCTATGGGTTCTTTTAATTCCCCAGCTGTGACCATACCTCGTGAAGTCGGATTTGGCCACGGTGGTCCACGCATTAGTTACCTCTAGATTGGACTATTGAAATGCACTCTATGTGGGGCTGCCCTTGAAGACGGCCCGGAAATTCCAACTGGTCCAACAATCGGCAGCCAGATTACTAACCGGTGCAAACACACAGACCAGTTAGATATGATCTCACTAACATTCCTAGTGAATATGCAGTGGAAGTGAAGAACAGATTTAAGGGACTCAATTTAGTAAATAGAGTCCCAGAAGAACTATGGACAGAAGTCCGCGACATTGTTCAGGAGGCGGCAACAAAGTACGTCCCAAAGAAAAAGAAAACCAAGAAGGCAAAATGGTTGTCTGCTGAGACACTGGAAGTAGCCCAAGAAAGGAGGAAAGCAAAAGGAAACAGTGATAAGGGGAGATATGCCCAGTTAAATGCACAATTCCAGAGGTTAGCCAGAAGAGATAAGGAACTATTTTTAAACAAGCAATGCATGGAAGTGGAAGAAGACAACAAAATAGGAAGGACAAGAGACCTCTTCCAGAAAATTAGAAACATTGGAGGTAAATTTCAGGCAAAAATTGGCATGATAAGTGTATTGGTACAGCTGTACCAGAAGCTCCCACTTTATTTGCCTTGTATTAAGTGTTTGCTTGCAGCCCAAGGCTTGGGATTCTGCAGAAGGGTGGCTTCCTGTTAAAGTTTGCAGTTATAGGGCAGGCCCCCTGTCCGTCATCGTTAAGTTTGGTTCCGCCCCCTGTTCAGGACAATTGTGAAGGGAAGGGAGCCATTTTCAGTCAGTCTCAGCAAAGGAAGTCAATGTACAGGACGTGTACAGACTTCTCCTGTACAAAGGCTTCAACCCTTAAGACCTCCCGGGGAGAACAGTCTTAAGAGCAAAAGGATTCCCAAAGCTTCCCAGGGAAACAGCCCTAAAGCTCTGAGGAATTTCGGAGGGAAAAAACAGCTTTGAACATCTAAGAACTCCAGCTGAAGTGACTACAGGCCTACTGGTAGGTCCACTCGGTGCTTTGAGACGCAGATCAACCCGGTAGTGGAGCCCACATCAGTTAGGTTTAGGATCACAGTTAGCCTGGGAGAAGTTTGGAAAGGGATTTTCCTTTAGAGTAAAAGTAACAGTTAGAAGCCACCAGTTGCACAAAGCCTGGAAGCATTTGTTTAACCTTTTGAAGACAAAAGAAGTTTCTGTTGATTGTTCACCAATAAAATACTTTGTTATATTTTACAAGCCCTCCAGAGACTGTTTATGGTGGAAATCCTTAAGAATTTCTCTTCGGGTCCCCTGGCTTCCCGCTGGGCTAAAGTTACGTCCTGTTTTAAAGGCAATTCGTTTCAAGCCCAGCGCATGACAGAACAATAAGAAACAAAGATGGCAGGGACCTAACAGAAGCTGAAGAGATCAAGAGAAGGTGGCGAGACTATACAGAAGATCTGTATAAGAAGTATAATAATATCGAGAATAGTTTTGACGGAGTGGTGAGTGAACGTATTCTCCCCTATGAACCATCAAGATTATTAAGATCGTCTGGAGAGGCCCTGCTCTCGGTCCCACCGGCCTCGCAAGCGCGTCTGGTGGGGATGAGGGACAGGGCCTTCTCGGTGGTGGCCCCTCGACTCTGGAACTCTCTCCCACTGGAGATCAGAACCGCCCCTTCTATCCTGACATTTAGGAAAAAGGTGAAGACGTGGTTATGGAGACAGGCATTCGATGAGTGAGACAACACCCTAAGATATAGATGGAAGGTGATGTATAATTGATTTTAGTATGACGACTGACCATTGTAGTTTGAATATATCTGTTGTTTTAATGTGTTATTGTAATATGAATTATGTTGTTTTACTGATTGTATGTGTTTTTATGATTGGAAACCGGTCTGAGTCCCTCAAAAGAGGTGAGAAGTTCGGTATATAAAACTTTTAAATAAATAAATAAATAATTAGAACCAGACATCCTGAGGAGTGAGGTTGAATGGGCCTTAAGAAGCATTGCTAACAACAAGACAGCAGGAGATGACGGGATCCCAGCTGAACTGTTTAAAATCTTAAAGATGCTGTCAAGGTGATGCATGCCATTTGCCAGCAAATATGGAAAACACAAGAATGGCCATCAGACTGGAAAAAATCAACTTATATCCCCATACCAAAAAAGGGAAATGCTAAAGACTGCTCAAACTTCCGTACAGTGGCCCTTATTTCTCATGCCAGTAAGGTAATGCTCAAGATCCTGCAAGGAAAACTCCAGCAATACATGGAGCGAGAGTTGCCAGATGTTCAAGCTGGGTTTAGAAAAGGCAGAGGAACGAGAGACCAGATTGCCAATATCCGCTGGATAAT